CAGCGTGCGCCGTCCACTTCAGCATGGACACACGGTACTGGCAGAGCTCCACCACCACCACGTCGGGCTGCACCTCCCGGATGGTCTGCGAGGGACATGCCGGCTCCCCACGGCCCTGCGGGCAGGGCCCACGCCACACCCAGAGGCCCCCACCCCCTGGGCGGCCCTGCCACCAACTCAGCTGCTGCTGCAACAACTCAGGGCTTCAGGCAACTATCAGCGGAAATGACTAAGCAGGTTTGCTCGTCCCCAGGGAGGAGAACACCCAAGGCTGTCAGGGCCTGGCCTGAGGTCAGATGGGCGTGGCAGCCTCACCTTCACCACGTCCTTCTTGCTGTCATCGCTGAAGTGGGCCGTGCCCACCACGTACACCCTGCTCCCATCCTCGGCCACCAGCTCGGTCACCGTACGCGGCAGGCTGGGCCGCGCGCGCCTCCTCTTCAGCTTCATCTCCAGGAGCAGCTTGAAGGCGTCCACGTCAGCTGCAGGGACAGCGAGGCCCAGCTCGGGGACGCCCGCCGCCGAGCAGCCGGGGCTCCCTGGGCACTGGGTGGGGCCGTGCTGCCCTGTGGAACCTGGACACGCAGGGGGTCCCTCCTGGCCCCTCCCTGAGGAAAGGGGCCTGGGCCTTGGCAAGCTCTGCCCCTGAGGAGGCACCCAGGCTGCTGGGGGCCCTGGGGGGCTCTGAAGGACTGAGCCTCAGGACCACTTGTGCTCAAGAGCCCCCTCCCCTACACCCCAGGGCAGGCCAGGGGCCCCTCGTTCACCACAAACTCGGGAGGGCACCCAATCTGAGCCCCAGCTGGCTGGGAAGCTGCCACCCCTCCCGCCCAGCACAGTGACCTCAGAGAGCACGCACACAGGTTCTGGGGCTCTCCAGGAAGCACCCTGGGCACCACCTCCGAACACCCTGATGTCACGACGGGTTCTGGGTCAGCCTGCAGAAAGAAGGGGAACACTGTAGCTGGGATGACCGCCCTCTCCGGGGTCAGCCCGGGATTTGCCTGGTGGCTCTTCCAATGCCTGGAACTCCTGGGACCCATCTGCCACGTGCCCCGGGACTAAAGGCCTCCCCACGTCGACCACCTGACATGCGGCCCACTCTCAAGGTGCCCGGCCTGGTCCCCTGGGCTGGCCCAGGAGCACCGCAGGCAAGAATGTGGAGCTCTTCTATGCACAGAAGCCAGTGACCCCAGGAAGGCCATGGTGGGGGGGAACCCCATGCTTGCAGGCAGCTGGCGCAGCCCTGAGCCCACAGACACCCCAGACCCAGTGCTCCGGCCCAGGCCCCTGACCTCGCGGGGTGGCTGGTCCTCCTGCTCGTCCATAGCTGGGCGGCAGCTCCTGACACCAATGAGTGAAGCCTGAGGAGACACAGGAACAGTGTCCTCACCTGGAGCCCAGGGTCACAACAGGGGTCAGTGTGCCATGGGGAGCTGGATGCCCTGAATGAACCCTGGGCAGGACTTCGGCCCATCAGGCCCCTGGTCAGTCTGGGGCCGCTGAAGCGCAGGCTCCCCAGGCCCGGGCACAGCAGGTGGGAGACCCTGGCCACGAGCCCTTCGAGCCCTGCAGAGCGGGGGCTGACTGCAGGACATGGAGACACCCAAGGGCAGGATGTGCTGCCCGACCTCCAGCTTGCCCAGCGGAGAAGCCCTCAGGCCGCTAGCCAGACCTGGACGTCTCCTTTTTGAATTTGGAGCAAAATACAATTTACAGAATTCCCTCAAGAGAGCAAGCCGAGTGGGAAAAGGGAATCTGCACGCTGGGCCGGCGTGGAAGTCCCCGGCGGGCGTTGTCCCGGGCTGGGGCCTCTGCCCCGCGTTCTGGAGTCACTGCCGTGATGACACGTGTCAGCAGACTCGGGGAGCAGAGGAGGGGCTAGGGGAGGCACCTTGGGGGCTGAGACTCCTGGTTTGAGAAAAAAGATGCCAACTGGAAGAAGCTGAGTTAGAAACTGAGACTGTCTGGGCAGGTGCCACCTTGGAGAAAAGCCTGGAGCGGAGCGGGGGCGGGGGCAGGGTGTGGGCTGGGGCCTGGAGCCCCCAGGCTGTCCTCGTCAGAGAGAGAAAACCGCCCAAGATGGGCCATCGAGACTTCCAGAGCTACTGGGGCCTGGGGTTCGGCTGGGGCCATGTTAGGACACTGGGCTCTGGACGTCACTAGATCCCCAGATGCCGTGGGAAGTTCAAGCCAGAGTCTGACAGGGCCTCTGCTTCCACCTCTGGGGCCACCTACGAGTGTCGAGCCGGGGTCCTGCCACCAAAGGACAGGGTGCCTGGCACACGTGGGCACCAGGAGAGGCTCAGCCACAGCGGCCAAGGAGCTGCTTAAAACGACGAGCTCACTCGGACATTGCAACAGGGAGCGATTCTAGTTTGTTTTGAGTTGCGGCGGGGCATTGTGGTTTTGCTTCAGAGTCTGTGCTCCGTGGGCAGCAGCTGGGGCCCTAAGAGCCTCGCCGGCCCTGCCGGCCCCACACAGGCCACAGAGCACGCCCAGGGCTCGCATCAGTCTCGCTGGGCTGCACGCTTTCGCAACTTCCGTTACAAAGAGGAAAAGCAAATAATAAAATAAGCAAAAAGCTACGTCAGGTTCCTCCCTGCTTTGTACCCTGTGACCCTAAGCCTTACCCCAATCTGGGCTCTGTTCCCAACTGATGCCCAGTACCCACTGCTCCTCTCTGAGCTCCCGTTTCCTGTCTACAGCTGGGAGGACCTGTCGGGCAGGTGGCTCAGAGCAGGGGCAGCTCCCTGCCACATAACCAAATGCCCAGACACACCAACGCGCCCGGGAGCTGACCTAGAAGGGGGCAGCCCATCCCAAGGATGGCTGGGCCTCTGGAAGAAAGGAGGTCAGGGAAGGGTCAGGAAGAGAAACTGGCTTAAGGCCAAAGGAAGTAACGGGGCCCCATGGGGGGGGGGGTTCCAGCTGGCCCAGAAGGGTGGCACTCAGAGCCCACGGGCCTCTGCAGGGGGCAGGGGAGCGGCCCTGGGGTCTGAGCACTCCTGGCTCCCGGGCCCGAGCCTGAAACAGGCCTCTGGCTGACCCAGTGGGTGGCAGCTCACCTGGCCTCACCAGGGCCTCCTCCTTCCCTCTGCACAAATGGAAGCATGCAGTGACACAGGGCACACCCGACACAGAAACAGGAAGCCGCGTCTGCAGGCGGGCTGGGCTGCCCGCCTCAGGCCCCGCACTGGCCCAGACGGACCACCTCAGCCGCCTCGCACAAGGCTGCCCAGGTGCTAGAAAACTGCCCCAGGAAACATCCATGCTGTCTTGGGAGCCTTGTGTGACAGTCAGCAAGAGTGAGGCCACCGTGGCCTCCGTCTCCCTCCCACCAGTGTGGTGTCCCCAGTTCTGGGCCAGTCCCCCACCCTCTGGGCACTGCCTGGCTAGACGCCCCGCTACCAGCCAGGAGGAAGCCTGTGCCCACGGAGAGGGGGCAGACAAGCCTTGAGCCCCGAGATGGCTGGGCCACCAACTGTGGCACAAGGACCCAGGTCCCCTAGGAGCCCCAGTGAGGGCACGTGGCCTGGGAAGGGGCAGGCAGGAAGGCCACCGAGGCCCCTTCCATGCCAAGAATCCATGATTCTGAGCAGCGTCTCTTTCTGACATTGTCACAGCCATGTACACCCCCTGTTCTGGTCCCCTCAACCTCAGCCTGGCCCCGCCATACCCTTGCAGGATGTAATTTCAGTGGGTTCTCAATCCCTCCTCCCTGCACCCTGCTCACCTTGAAGCATCTGCAAATATTTACAGCGGGGATCCGAGCCTCTCTTAGCTGCCTGGAAGGGACCAAAGGCCCCACCCCGACAGCACCTGGGACCCAGTGCCCGCAGGTCCGCTTTCTGGCCACAAAATCTCTGGACGATGGTCCCAGCAGCTCACCACACCGCCACATGCTGCAGGGAGCACAGACCCCAAGCTAACACCCTGCAGCAACGCCCCCTCCTACATCCAGCCCCACCAGCAGCACAGCTCCAGGGAGCCAGGCGCCAGGCCATGCTGCGGCCACCAACGCTCAGACCCTGTGGAGCGCAGCACAAAACAGGACGACGGTCTTGCCAGGCCCAGGGGCCCCTCCCTCTCCTCAACCAGCTGTCACCACTGAGCCAAACTGTCCTCAGAGCATGACCTTAGGAGCACTGGGCACACCGGTGGGAGCTGCCTCCTGAGTGTGGCTGCCGGAGCCCAGTTCTTCTGGCCAAGAGGCCAGCTGGTTGGCCAGCTGCCATCAACCGTGCTGCGGGTACGGCCACAGGCTTGGCCAGATCTCAGTCCACCACTGAGTGCTGCGTGGCCCTGGGCAGGCTGCTGTAACCTGCTGGGGCTCTCAGCTCCTGCCTCCAGGGCCGAGGGGTGAGAGCAGCCGCCCAGCAGGCCCACAGCACGCCACACTCCGGGGTCACTCCAGCCCAAGGCCTCTAGACCTCTTTGGGCTTCCCATTTCCAGGGTGGTGGGCCCACAGGGCATGGTAAGAACCGGCAGCCTGGTCCCAGGACTCTGTGTGGAGGGACGCTGCTATGATGTGGCCCCGCAGATGACAGAAGTGGTGCCCACATGCTCCCAGGAAAACAGACACCAAATCTGAGGGACTCCCCGACATCCCTGAGAGGACCCACCTCAGCAGGTTCAGCAGAGAATGCACCTGCTCACGGGGCAGGGGGAGCCCCACTGGCGCTAGGGATCCCCCAGGAACACATTCCTCACTGGGTGAGGAATTAGCACAGAACACGATTTGCTGGGGGCCCGGCACAGGGCAGACCTGAGCACACCAGACAGTCACAGTGCGAGTGGCCAGAGGCTCCCGCCCGCCCAGCCCAGGCAGCTGTCCCCTCTCCTGGTCCCACTGCTGTGGTCTGAATTGTGACTCCACTCAATTCACTTTCTGGAGTTCTGGCCCCAGCGCAATGAACTTAAGAGGTGGGGTCTCTGGGATTTGATTAAGGGTAGATGAGGTCCTGAGAGGGCCCCACAGTGGGACTGGAGCCCCAGTGGGAAGAGACACAGGAGAAGTGGCTATGTGAGGACACAGCAAGGAGCCAGCTGTCTGCAACCCAGGAAGAAAGACCCCTTCCCAGCAACCACAGCAGCCAGCACCGTGATCTCGAACTCCCCACCTCCAGACTGAGAAAGCAGTCTGTTAATGTTTAAGCGCCCGTCGATGGTATTTTGTCACGGCCCCAGAGCAGACTGAGACAGCCGTTTTCTTCCCCTCACCCCTCTTAAAAATTAGGAAGCCAGAAACTGCCTTCAAGACCCCACCGTGGCTCTCCACTGCTGGCCAAGAGCTGACCAGCACCAGATGGAGTTTCCAGAAAACCCCCATTTCCCAACTAACCCACTACGTCTGCTCAGAAATCCAAGGGTCCTAAACTGGACCACAGGCTGCAGAAGGAAATGACTAACTGAGAGGCAGCAGAGTGTAGCCCAAAGCCCTGACTCCCACCCCACTCCCACTTCTGAAGCCTGGGGTCTGAGCGCTCCCGGCTCCCGGCCCGAGCCTGAAACAGGAGAACCTCCTGGGTCTGATGGGCGCTGTTCTATGGAGGTGGGGCAAAGGTCAGAACTGGGGTAGAGGGCACATGCCAACTCACACCTGAGCTGGAGGTCCACATGACTCCTGTCCAGCACACCTGGCCGACCCTCCTGGAACCTGGGCACTGCCTGGTGCCAGGTCCCCACACTGACCACCACTGCAGGGCACAGTGGAGGGGCCTGCCTGCCCACCATGCTGGGCTGTCTCCTGGCAGCTTTGCCGGGCAGCCTCAGACACCACAGCATCACGGCCATCCTGCAAGGCTGACCGGGGCCCCAAGGTCAGGGCTCCCTCCCAGTCACACAACAAGGGGGGCAGCAGCGGCAAAAGGGACAGAGGACCAAGGAGAGCGGAGCCTAGACCGGAGCACAGTGAGCTGGTGGCCTGTATATATCCTTCTCCAGGGGCTCCCGGAAAGGCAGAAGTCCACCTGGAAACCCCCAATTTCCTGATAAAGGTGTCCTGATGTCCCAAGCCAGCCCAGGACTTCTGAGGAGTTCCCGTTGTCTCCCATGTGCCTTGGCTTCCCCTCCCGGGACAGTTTTCACCAAGGCACATACGTGAACTTTGTGGTACTTTGTGGCATGCAAGGTATGTCTCAATAAAGCTGTTCGCACAAACAAGGGGCCAACAGAGCCTCGAAGTTCCGTCTACTCTGCCCATATGGCAGCCTCATTCGCTCGGCCTGAAGGGCGGAGGCCTCCAGCACGCGGAAGAGCCCAGGGTCTCCTGCGGCCGCCGCCTGGGGAGGTGGGGACCCCGC